AAACGTTTAACAAATGATGTTACTTTTTTAATAGTTGAATTGTTGATTCACTTAAAGCTAGACCACTATGAAAAACCTGGAAGCACTGGACGGCCATTTCGTTCTCGTATGGGACTACTCAGCAGTGCGCATCCACGATCCCACTCGTGGGATTCGAACCCAGGACCTATCGGCCACACATGCGAACGCTTAACCTCTAAACTACTGAGCCGGCATCCAATGATGTTAATGTCTAAATTCAACCAATTCACGAGATTGCACCACCATTATTTTCAGTCAGTAACTATCTCTACAACAGACATGGTTGAACTCCACTGGCCATGGCTTGTAACGTACACAAAATATTAAGTGATATCAATCTATATGTTGTCATATGCGATATACTGTTTTAATTTTAATTAAACTAACAGCATTATAATAATTTCTTTATTTAATTGAATACTTTTCACAAACATGTTTAATTCATAATTCATTCTCAATATTATTATTCATTTTCAGAATGAATAAACTAATATTCAACTTGTCAATTATGCATTAAAATATACTATACTAAATTGGTAACAAATATATTGTATAAGGTATATAATTAACAATATAATACTTATAATGATGATAAAAAGAATACGAAAAGATGCATAGTGTGTAAGATTTTATAGACCCTTCATGTTTTATTGTCAGAGAGTATTTACAAATATTATAATGCTTGCCAATCAAAATTTAAAGCTAAAATAAAATTAAGAATTAATGGAAATTTTAGATAAATTAGATTATTACTATTGATTGTCTAGCACAAATATCTGTAAACATAATATAAATATGACAGGCAGACACTGATATGTAGATTCTGTATTGATCTACAAAGAGATAAGCAGAAATCAATCATTATCATTCTAAGTTTTGATTTTATTGTTAAAGTTATCCTACGGAATATGTTCAGCACACTTATTATGATAAACGAACATCCAGGTGGAGAAAACTAATCTATTTATAATGCTTGTGACTTAATGTAATATTGGGGCAATCCGCACAGGATGCACATATGCCAATAAAAGACTGATAAAGTACAGTCCTAAATATCAATAGGAAGATTTAAATAAACAATACACAGTAATTTAGCAAAATGTGAAAATCATACATCAAGTACATCATTTGCACATCTTTTAATTGTCTCATACAAGCGTCACCGTTCCTTCATTCTTGTTGTTATCTTGAATGCTTCTAGTTTTCTACTTTCCCTTCATTCTTGTCTTCTGAACTTTCTGGTCGCAGATGTTCCACTTCTGACTAGTGTTACATACTACTTATATTTGCAAACATAAGTAGCATACACTACACTGAACAAAGTTAATCTTTTTCAAAATTATTCCACAAGCTTTAAACCAATTCGTTCTGATGGATTTGTTTGTGATTACCTGTCTTTATAAAACCTGTGATTATCATATGACTTTTCATTCTTATCGACTACTTATTAACCTAACTACGTAATTAATTGACTTTACATTTTATAGACTGGATGTCTGTTGATAAGTATATTAACTACAGATCAATTCGAATGTTATGCTTCCAATATTTTGCTAATTTTCAAATGAAAATATAATGTAACTACACAGTTAAATTTAGTGCAGTTGTAAAATTCCTACTGACAATTATTAGATCAATTAACAAATTGAAATAATACCATTTCATTATGTCTCCCTCGGTTGTTTTTTTTTGTCTTTTTTAACATCAAGCAAACTTATCATACCACGTGCTTTGTGTCCATATACTTGAAAAGATAATAAAACTAAGATTACTACTTTCGGGTTTAGTTAAAATTGCTCTTAGTATATTGAAGAGAAAACTATATATAACGCCTACATATCCAAGTAAATAGTTCAAAGCATATGGAAACGATGTTTTATCTTGTCCCATGTTTGATTTAGATCCACGCACTCGCAAAAAACGATTGATAAAGAAACACATACAGTATATTGAAATTTCGTTGTATTAAGAGTTATTCACATTGTGACTAATTATAGATCAGTACGTCATTTACAACATAAAAGCACCAGCAAACACTTGGTTAGCTTCTAGTCTTATAAAGTACATCGATATATTAGTGGTTATGCTCATGACTTTTAAACACAATGATTCAAATCCAGTCCTCGTTCTACAGTTATATAAAACTACTATTTCTGATTCATAAAAAAAGGTATATCACAAATTTATGGATATCACCGAGTACTTAGTTTCTGAATTACATCATATTACATTTTTTATTATTAACTACCTTAAATGTTTTACGGTTAAACTTGAAGTTTTCATATCTTGCAGATACAGCGTTATCGTTAAATTAGTAAAATAAAATGTATAATCAGAGTTCATTGAACTTCAATAAATTAAGATTAAATTTATATTCTATGTACCTGTTGAAACGTGTTACAGGAAATACAGAAAGCTTCATAAACAAACTATACAATTTACATAAAGTTTATCACTTATGCTATATTCACTTGGTATTGTTTTACTTGAATCTTCCAATTGATGTTTTAAGACTGAAATTGATCAGTCTCTTATTGGCATATATGCATACTGTGTGTATGCCTTGATATTGCCTTAATTTACAAGCATTATAAGCAGAGATGGATAGTGGCTAGCAGTGGAATCCAGGACGCGCGTTTCGTCCTGTTTGGGACTCGTCAGCTGAATGTATCTGCACCTCAGAGTTGATGTTCACTCTGGGACTATATGTTTACACTTGATATGATCATAAAATGTTACATACTTGAAAAACAAACGATATATTAATTTACTTAAAGCGAAATATAACATTACTTACATTTGTTTCTTCTTAACTTATCTATATAACTAAACTTCTAGTGAGTAATCACAGCGGCACAATAGATATTACACTCTTTTTCAATTGGTATTTTGTTTTAGTCTCCTTAACCTTGTTCAATTTTCAAAATCTTCTGTATTAACCACTTCATGTAAAAACATGCTCATGATTAAAATAATAAACACAGATAAAACTATAGTCTCCTATTGGGTTGCGGTTTTGTGATGTATGTGGGACTCCATATATTCTTAGCTCTAGAAAATAGTACAGCCTTTGGATTTTTTATTAAAAATATAAATTATCAAGACAGTAAGCTAAGTAATTAGTTTCTAACTACTTATTAAGAAGATTTACTTTATTCATATGCATACTTAAATCAAATTGGTTTCTTTCTTTTACAAGTATAAGCTTACAAGATTCGTACTTTTTCATAGAATATATGTCGTTGAAATAGGATATATGTCTGTAAATTTTTATTACATCCGTTCTTAAGTGTTCATTATGTGTGATATCAAGCATTTCCCGGCATTTTCCCTCCATGTAGCGAGTGATTGCTGAATATGAAAATAATTTTCACCAAAAATTCCATTTCCGGCTCTAACTTTTACTTTATTCGTATATTTGCATCCTACAAATTAGACCATGCTATAGTGATGTATTCAAAGAAGACATATATGATAGCTTTATACTACTAAAATCCAATTCTCAATAAAGATAAGTACTCACTCACTAAATAAACATAAAATTACCCGAAAATGCTAGTTATTTTGCTTTCGCTAAACATTAAAATAGTGGTTATTATCGTACATGTTAGAATAGGTAGATATTTTTTTAATATAGGTGTTTGTAGATACTTCATCATTTGAAAGTAAGTTTCCCTAAAAAGTGATATCAGTTGGAGATCTAGCAAAATCTAAACAATAATAAACAACCATTTTATCTTCGTTTAAAACTCCAGTTGATCATATATATTACTGTAAATAAAACCAAACTTATAATTTCAGTTAGTCAGTTGACAATGAGAATGTATTTAATTAATTTCACCATATGAAATCATATGATTATTACTTTTTAGACTATAGAAAAACAATGTTCATCATAAATTTATGCACTTCTAAGATATAATGAATGTTTACAATATTACATTTGTATGAATAATACCGTTACAAACAATCTATAATTATTTAAATCCAAACAACTGACTGAAGATTAATTAGTACTAATTACTAATATGCTAATATTACTAATATGCTGAGGAGTCCCACAATGGGACGAAACAACCTTCCAGTGCTTCCAGTTTTTCCATCGTAGTCTATCTTCATTTGACTCATGATCTCAACTATTAATATTACTAATTTGTTGACATTTTAAATCCAACTAATTTACGAGAGGTACTTTTAACGATTAAGTTAAACAAATAATGTTCACATATCAATGAATTAATTCACATTAAATATAATGGTTTGTTTTATTGTCAACTCATTAGATAATTAGACTAAAACGTTTTCTTACTTCCAGTTGTATGAATGATATCATATTTTTTTCATTAATTAAAACTGTCAAACTATAATTCATGGTATAAAAACCTTAAACAAAATCAAAAAATCTAACAAAAGTTTTATTGGATCCAACTGATTTGTTTGAGGATATTATGTCTACCCTACTGGGTATCATGAATAGATATTAGTGGACTATCTTCCAGAAAATTCCTAAAGCTTCATATATCAATCACCCTGACAACTGTTATTAGAGAAATCCCAACAATGTATGGATTTTAAAAGGCAACACGAAGCGCTAACTACATTTTATTAATGAATAGCAAAAATCACTAAGCCACAAGCCTAACAAGAGAATTTGAGCAAAAATACTGATGCGAGTGGGCATATATATATATATATATATATATATATATATATATATATATATATATATATATATATATATATAAAGCCCTTACGTTCACACAGACATGATAGTAAAACCATGATATAAAAATTGCCACTGATGGAATAACACTGTTAAATAAGTGAATGAAGGGTTTGACAAAATTGAACTTAAAAGCGAGTGCAGAAGAGGTGCTATAGTATGTTATAAAATTATTTATGGAATTTCTCATAAACCTATTTACTTGGAACGGACATAAATTATAGTAATGTTTTATTTACTTCGTTTCTTTATTCAGCTTGTTATTACGCCGTAACTAATACTTATTATCAGCATAAAGATATATGGATGTCTGCTGAAGTACCATGTGTAAAATGTAAATGTCAGCACGGAAATGTACATTGTGTTGGTGAACCTCATCAATGTCCATCAGTATGTTTACCTGGTCAATATAGTCAACCTGCCGGTCCATGCTGTCATACTATATGTAAAGGAACAGGTACGTAGAACATATGACTTTAATTTCCACATAAATGAAAACTAATTTCATGCTTATTTAAAGGCCAATAAATAAAAGTTTTACGTATCAATTAACTAGAATATCATAATAGTTTTTAAATTATCCTAGTATGATCTTCCAAATCCGACAATTATATTTCTTTTGTAGAAAAAAGCTGAAGCTCTATAAAAATAAAACCTAATTTCTTGCTAAAGTAAAGAAAATTCGTAATTTCGAATATTTCGGTTTCAATCCAGCTATCGAATAAATTTTCAATGAAGGCCACCCATCATATTTGTCCCGTTAAAAATCGGTTATCGTTATAATATTTAGTATGTATGTAAATGTTATGAATTGACATTACTAAATCAAAGACACTTTATCAAAATATATATGACCAAACAATTGAATCCGTTTAAATGTCATAACCATAACTGGTAGTGCAACTGTGAGGCATGAATCATATAATTACAAACAATTAATGTATCATCAATATATCTTCTGCAGAACGTTACATCTTAAACCGAAAAAAATACGAAAAAATAGCATAAATTGAAGAGTAGCTTGCAAAAAATGAATATCCAAGAAACTTTGTTATAAAGTACGGAAAAACAATTACAGAACGTTCCAAACAAACGGCTGTTAACAGAAAGCTTGTCTTCACTAGGCTTGCATTCGAATTTGAAGAGATTTCAGGCAGGATCGATAAAAAAATTAAAGCAGCGCTAAAAATAAGCTTTCATGCAACTCATCTATTTTCCGCGTATACAACCAGATGTTCCTTAAATCAATCAAAAGCGGATCACTACCCTTCTGAGATCGTCGCCAAATGTATCTATGAATTTACATGTATCTGTGGAGACAAGTACATAGGAAAAACTGAAAGAGGAGCATCTACAAGATTTTAGAAACATATTGCACGTAAGTGGTGTCTGAAAGGAAGTAAAACTATTAAATGCGACCACCGAACATTTAATGGATAGCGGACAAAACGTGGATGTCTCAAAAGTATTCACAAAAATTAACAGGCGACATACACCATTTTCACTCCGTTTCTCAGAGACCGCTGGTACCAAAAGCTTTCGACCTGACCTTTACATACAAAAAAGAAGTGTGGTAAACCTAGTAAAATAATCATATTATTTTAACTCGAGTCAGTTACATTGTTTCTTCATTATAACTTAAAGTAAGAAACCCACTAACATTTACTCATGAAGTTAAATTTAATGTTATGTCGAATCGGTGCTTGGATCATCACTCACTGATATTCACTCAAGAAGTTAACTTTAATGTTATGTTAAATTGGTGTTTTGATCATCACTTATTAACAACTTGTTTTTATTCATTGTCTCTTTATTATCACTTACAACTTCACCCCCTTCTTCTCTTTTTATGATTTCATCTTCAACAAATAAATACCCATCAATCTTAACTAATTTGTTAAATATGTTGTTTCTCTTTCTTTCTTAAGTCGTTTGGTATGTAATACTGTTGGGAATGTCCAGAAAATTCTTCGAAAAAAGCCAAAAAACGCTCTGAAAATGCTGAGAAACATCTTATCAAGTCAGCATTCAATATAAGTTATACCAGAAACATCTAGCAAGTGAAAAGTCACATGTCATGTTTCTGATTGAATGATAACCTATACTGCCACTATGTTTATTAGCGTTCCAGAATTTTCCGAAAACCCAAGCCCATCTAAAATACTATAGATTTTCTGTAGATAAACGAGCCTTGGAGTAAAAAGCGTTTCTTTCATATTTCTTGCCTTTTCTCTCGTGTTCAATTCTCTGTGCAGATTAAGCCTGGGGGTTACTAGGAGAGCTTAGGAACCGAATCTAGCGTTCAACTAGAAGACTTATCAAATACCATTTTTATAATATTCCTATTATAAATGTGGGCCGTTTGCAGCTGATGAGAAGCCTTTAAATCTGGTGGATTCATTTTGTTTTTCAGTCATTATTTTTGCTTGATTTAAGGTTATCAAGGCTTCATGATGTTCGACATTCCTGAAAAAAACTCCCTTATATCGATTAGTTTTGAACGTAACCATTAACTTGAGGGAATTAATACCTCAATTCACTCTATTTAACGTCAGCTGATCTGATGTAATCGACATGAAACTCTAGATTATCGTTCTATATGAAAATTGTTAAAAGAGCATAAAATCAGGAATCATAAACATTTCATTAGATTCACTTTTAGTTACCATATTTACATTTGTCTCCTTAAAATAATATTTCACTTTCACTCTTCTGATCAAACAATTCAATATTCACATAAATAAATTTATTCATCTGGCTTTATTTCATGAGAACAGTGTAAGAAATATTTTATCTTATATTTTTTTATTTGGACGTGTTATAAGCGAAAACAGGGGTAAGAGCAATCAATGTATTTTAGTACAAATTACAGAGTATCTTGGTCAAATACAAGAACCATACTTCATTTGCAGATTTCCATCATTTGTCTTTCACATTCTGTATGATTCCTCTGATTCGTAATTCCTTTCTAATTCCGTTTCTGTCTTCTTCGAGTTGATATTTATAGCCTTCTGTTGCCAAGTTTTTGGCTTCTTGTCGGTGTTACACAGTACTTATGTCGACAGACATAAGTTGCATACACCACAGACGTACTCTCTTTTTATCATTTCTTATAGTGACAACAAAGATTTTTTAACAGTTTTAAGTACGAAGTAATGAATTAATTCTGTACTTTATAATCTTCAGATTCACATTATTATTGATAATAATCAAAACCTGCAACTATGAGCAACACCAATACATCCACTTGGTTTGTACATGTGCCATCAGAGATTGACCAAATAAAATCGTAAACATCAACAGTAGAAACATAAAAGCCATCGTAAATTGATACTCTATAGCTTTTTACAATATTATATAAACAGTATAACATCTTAGACTTTAAAATAAACGTTGATTTATACAAGTGAAATGCAATGGGAAAAAGTTAGCAAGTTAGAAGTACAAGAAAGTAAGAAGTCATCAATTAGTGGTTTTCTTGTTTTAACACAGTACTTTATTCTTTATTCTTTTTATATCCTAGTATCGAAAGATATTACTTTCGAATTCGCTAGTTGTTTAAAGATAGGTGTCGATACTTTGCATTCACATGGTGAAATGATTACACTTAATGGTATTTGTGTTGATCAGAAATGTCAGTGCGTCAATGGCCGATGGAATTGTTTCGATTATTGTACACCGTTATCAGAATTATCTTGCCCTTCAGATGAAATGATAATATGGGATCCTTTTTGTTGTCCTAGATGTCGAGGTAAGGAATAATTTGGTTGTAAAATTTATAGACTATATAGAAATATTTCGTATTTTATTGATGCAACTTCAATCTAGCCACAAATAAATATTTGAAGTCAGTGATTTTTTTCATATGATCAGCAAATACTCTAATTCATCCGAATTTTGTTGGTAGCACAATTCATAATTCAGTTTCACAATATCACATTTTGTAAGGATTAAAAAACGTGAGACCTTCGACAATTATCAGAAATGAAATATTTATCCTATAAAGATGCACAAATTATGCATCGAACTGAAGCTCACACTTCGTGGTATATTCTGTACATCACATTAAAGATAAGCAATATTCCTTGAAATGTTACAATGCATACGATAACTTACCTATCGTTAAAATTTTCTTTCGATAATAACCTTATCAGTATTATCATAAAATCTGTTCTTAATAATATGGGAGTGATTTTACGTTGTCGGAGGTAGCTGTTAAGAAAATATGAACATTTTTGCGTACTAGCTGACACTCACCAACAAGATGCTCCTCCAAATTTTGGGGAACTAATTCCTTCAGTGGAATTCGAACACGTGTCACACGACTAATTGCCAGTTTGCATTATGTTAACATTTTATGATTATTACCTTTCATGAAAACTAAAAAAACAATGTCGATTATCTCCAAGAATCTTATTAAGACTGTTAGAATAACATTTGTATCTTCTGTACAACGACAAGTACTAAACAACACTGCTGACTTACGTTTAAGGTTTCATAGTTATAAGCCTTGACATCAAATTAACCACTTATTTTCATCTAAATACTTATAAAAATATCTGGTAACTCGTAAATAATGTAGGTCTTGTTATAAATTTATGTTTACCGGTGTTACACCTAAGCATCATCTAACCGCGAAAAAAATGACGACATGCAAAGAAAGAAACCGAAAGTAGTAGTATTGTGGTGTGTGCTACTGAATTCGACAGATATAAGCAGTATGTATCATCAAACGCATGTGAAATGTCTGGCGGCAGAAGGTTAAAAAGATTAAACAAAAGAGAACGAGAACAGAGAATGATTGGTGTGGAAACGAAGGAACAATCAAATGTGAGACGATTGATTGATATTTTACAAATGGAATTGTTTACTGTATGGTTCTCATATTGTATTAAGCTGTTCTGTAATTTTATATTCAAATACACTCGATTGTCCCACTTGTGTTCTCGTTCACCACAGTAGGACATATTATGATAAATCATAGTTCATAAACATGGAAGAAAATAAGGAAGTAAGAAATGTAACTAGTACTAAAACTCATGATTCAAAATAAAATATAGAACAAATGTAAATATGCACATTACAGCAGACTTCACGACATATTACGTCAAGTCTACAACCTTTATTGACAAGTGTCTCAACGAACTCAATCTGTAAATCTGAACATCCTCACATGTATCAGATCTGTGGCCAGTGAATTCAAAGATATGGTCCCAAGTCTTAGTTTCTGTATCCTGATTCACAACCCCAAAAATGTATATCCTGTGGGCAAGATTTTGCATTCATAAATCTCAAAAGTTAAACAAATTGTTGGTTTCACCTCCCTTCATATAGAATAACCAAAATTATAGTGTTTGATATTTAGCATCCTATTTTCAGTATTTTGGCTTATGCTAATATAATAACATCAATGTGGTTACATATAAGTGAAAAAATATTTTATCAAATTCTTACAACGAATTATTCAATCATTAACATTTAAATTCCACTTGGCTTTCAACTCTTATACAATGTGATGAGAATCGTTTATTGAAGTAATCATAAATACCCTTAGTTGTCAGTGTTGATTTTATTGAATCATTTTCTTACTATCATGATTTGAGAATATCCTCTTAGTCTGATGACAATTTTAGTCATAAACTGACATGAATAGTAAACGAGAATTCGACATCTGCTTTGACTTAATCTAAGGCTTGTCAAGCCTCTTAACCCTTTTTAAAGCCCAACTTAGATCTATCACTTGTCATGGTGAATATAAAATCTTGAGAAAATTAATATGAAATTCAATGATTCATATTTTTTTTAATTTCAAATATGAAAGTCTTGTGTTTAATCAAGTGTGAAATTGTTGGCATGTACTAGTGAAAGAGAGAAAAAAATACGAATTAAGACATAACATTTATTCAATACTCTTTAGTTTTCTCAAATTCTCCAAATGATATGAGTTTATGATGTAAACTAACTTAGAATTTTCTTTTCAATCTCTTCTTGATAAAGATCCTACTTTTATTTTCATAATAATAAACTATGTTTTTATAGTAATTACAATTCATAGTAAAGTTTACATTAAGAAAAATCTAACAATTAAATAAAGAATGAATTATGCATACATTTTCTTAGGTGATCAAACATGTTCAGTAAATATTGATATGAAAAATTGGTTATCCAATCCAAATGAAAAAACTATAGATACATTTAAAAGACTTGATTTGAATTCAACCGAATGGTCACAATCATTAAATAATCAACAAGAAAAATTATTATTTGAACCAATTACAAATATCAATGGTAAAGTGAATACAGAAATAATTACAATTCAACCTGGACAACAGATAGTATTGGAACAAGGACATTGTTTTTGTTTAAATGCAAGTATTTATTGCCCAAGGCCAGGTGAAATGATTTTGAAATATTATGTCGTTATCATTTTCTACATATGTGTACACATATAATAAAGTTGTATATTTTGAGGAAAATCAAGTTGGACATAGTGATTACTTTTTTAATATTTATTTGAACACATAAATATTGGTACAAAAGGGCACCGAAAACATATGTGCCACAAAAATATCATTTGATGTGTGTAGGCTGTGATACTGCCCGGGTGCTCAAACTGAAGCAGGTGGTTTTCTTAGGGGGCCATACCCCAAGCCTTCAGCCTAAAGGTGTGATCCACAAGGCAGTGAAGCAACGTAGGGCGATCTAATTCCATGGTAGCCGGTGTCCAATAATTGCTTCATTCGCCACTTTTTCCCTTGGGATCCTGGAGCCCATGTGCGCTGCTGGTTTGAAATCAGGGTTTTTCAACTCCTCTGGGTGAACTCTCCGTGTCCAGTGCCGGACCTTCGCTTTTTGTCCTCTTAATTTTGTAAACAACACCCCCGCCTGGAGAAGATAGTGAGTAGGACATCTCTGGCAGTGGTTGTATGCACGTGGCCATGTGAGAGCATTTCGTGAGAGAGAGAGAGCGGACTCTCCCTATCCTCGGCCGTACCAGGGCATTTTGGAGGCGGATATAGTGCTGAATACTACTAACTATTAAAAATACAAGTAGCCGATTAAATATTATTGACATAAAGTATGAACTATTAGATTTATAGTGAATCTAGACCATAGAATTTGAGCTTATTAGGTCAGATCGTGAAATGAGTTAAAAATGTGAAGTTCTTATAAATTTTTAACTATAGAAAATAAACAATTACCTAGTACAAACAGAATCCTAGTTGTACTTAGGTTAAATCATTTTTGAATGATGAATAAGCAATTGAGTAAGTAAGTACAACAACTACATTTATTTATGTGTAATAACTTATTTGCTGAAAAAGTAAATCATAATACTAAATGTAAAAAGATTTAGATAACATGTAGCAGTAACTTCATATTGTTTTGAAATAATTCCGTCACATAATTTAAGTTTCAATCCAATGATCAGCTATTAATAATTTCATCTAATAAACCTTTAGAATAATCTTTCATAGAATATAGTAAGATTAAATGTCTTGATTCTGAAGTATATTGAAGTGAAAATAATAAAAAATTAAAATCTGAATAGAAAAACACCTTGGAAATTTGCAATTCAACTTTTTGTAAGCACGATAAGCAGTTTAGTATGTAGTTTAAAATCAAGGGATCAAATAATTTTTGGAATAGTATGAGTGATAAAACTTTGGATGAGTTAATGTGAAAGTATCTGGTGATACTGATTTTAAGCTTTCTTATATATTGTACTTATAAGACAAACAATAATCCAGTAAAATACATTAACTGTCTGGAGGGAATAAAATATTAAGTACAGAAATGAACAAATGTTAAATTACTAAACTATTTATTCAGTGAGGACTGGAAATAAATTCCATAGATGACTGACCGTTCATGTTTAGCTAGTTAAGTAGGTTAAAACAAACGGAGTCAGTATTAATTTATTGAACTAAGTTGGGGAATTGTTTACCATTTTAGCATTTTATAATGTTAAAGCTATGTCAATCAATTATTTGGACATGATTAATTCGACTCTGAAATATAGGTACATTTAGATAAATAACCTGTCAATTCATTTGTTGTATGATAGATGCATTTGCTAAATAAAAACTTTACTCTTTAACTTATAAACTACGAGATTAAGTATAAATATGATTTGTCATAAAACTAATTATTGTAAGAAGAGAATGATGGAATTATTGTAGTTAACCCACAAAAATATAATTAATAAGGGCAAACTGTTTTAAACTATATTCTAATAATTACCTAATAAAAGCATTTCTTTTTTATTATTTCCGTACTCAACAAAAAGCATAGGTCGCCTAATCTGGCATGAGGATGATTGTTTTTATATGGATGGACAAGAAATTTCATATCATGCAGTTGGAACACGATGGATTCCAAGTTTTGATCATTGTACTGAATGTATATGTGAAATAAACCGAACATATCGTTGTAAACGACAATCATGTCAACAATTATTTCTCTGTCCACCTGAACAGATACCAATGGCAAGTGAAGATGAATGCTGCCCTTCATACTGCGCTCTACCCTCTCAAAAAAGTAAGTTATTTAAATAGTCAGTTTATAATTCATAAAAGCCAATTACATTTACGTCTAGTAAGTCATATCGACCATTCCTCTATTATTTAAATATCAAACATATTTAACACGTAATCTTAAATCACGGACCGACCTCACCTAGGATGTCAAGTCAACGGTGTAAAATTAAAGCGCTCCATGGGAGCTCTTATGGTCCTTGGTTCGAGCACTGGCGGGGTCGAAGGTGTTAACTATTGGGCAATCCAATTCCATAAGCAGTTAGCTAGTGCTCCTTAGTGTTTAATAATTGTCCAAATAAATTAAGTTTGAGATGTAAAATCACAAGATTCAACAATCTCCACAAACTCTATGCGCAAATATGTAATGTTGACAGGGAAGACAACTCATTCCATAAAATACAACTCAAATTTAGGACTTCGGGTCGCATATGATCATCATTCCATGAAGGTGATATTTTTGTCGAGATTCTTCAACTTTGATATTGTTTGTCATCTGCATTTACCCTCAGCTAGTCTGAGAAAAGGATAAGGGAGTGATCATGTCTAAACAGTATCCAATAAGTCAAGAGGTAAATTAAACGTCAATATTCATAATCAGTACCCAATCGATCTCGGTAAATGTTGCTGAGATTACTAGTTTTCGTAATACATTTCAAATCATTATATTCTAATAAGTTTTAAAATGACTATTTTGAATAGTGACTGGCGCCAAATCCAGGACGGCGTTCTGCCCTATTAAAGAAATATGGTTTGGAATTACCTGTATCCTACTATTTATATATCAACCGATTTAAGTTCAGTATCTCTTGCTTCAAGCGCCAAAGCAGTACTTACGACTACCATCATACTTTCGACGAGTATGGTATATGGTGACAATTGAGGTTTACTTAACGTCATTGTTGATATTGACTGGATTATTTAAGCCCCACTGTCACGTACTCAAAATCCGGATTTATTTATAAAACATTACATCCGACGTATCTAAATTCTGTATCCACGATGCTACTCAATAGCAATCCCGACTGGACAGTGTGACTTTGTGAGAACCGTTCATGTACACGAATTCACTAGGTCTTAATTTACTTGCCTAATGACTGCGTATCAGTATTTCCCAGAATTTACGGTGTAATTCTAACGATATTATACTACTGGTTACACTTTGTGATAGTTTGAATTCTTAGCCTTCAACCAGTAACTTCAAGGTTTGAACCCCTAAGTGTTTAATTCGTTCTGTGCAGTTGGATTCACTACCAAATAGCTAACTTTCTATCATTAATTTCTATCCATTCGTTAACATCGTTCAGATCGAGAAAAACCAAACAGTTTCAAGCAGGATATTCAAAAGAATGATGAGTTGAATACTGATTCCGTGAAGCAACAAAATAAAATGATCCAGATATTAATGAATGAAACTATTCCACAAAAGCCATCATCATCGTTAACACCACGTAACACTGGATGCTCATCACTGATAGACAATGAAAATATTATACAATATCCAGATGTCTTTCCTTTTGGATCTCGTCTTTTATTATTTCGTACATGTCGTAGTTTACTGTGTATATGTGCCAAGGACAACAGATGGGTCTGCACAGATCACTGCCCACCATGTGAACAATCTGTGGAATCTATTGAGAATTTAAGACATATATTACTCCCGCCAAGAGATAAATGCTGTGAACGATGTAAGTAGAATCATATTTTATACTTTATTATTAGTGTGTAGAAACAATACTAATGTGATAATTAATTGTATAGGGTTACACTACCGCGCTGAACCTTGAACCTAAAAGTTTAATAATTCGATTGTTCAATTATAAGCTGTCTGATGGTTAAGTGTCATTATCAAGGTTTGACGCATAATTTCAAATAAACTGAGCATTGTGTAAATTGTTATTAATAAAACTAATACGTGATATCCCAACGGGTATGAAAATTTAATTTTTCTGACGTTTCGTGTTTCGGATGATCTAGAGGACTTTGAAATTAATCGATGAATTCCGCAAATAGACCACTGCATAACAGACAGTTTGGTTCTCTGTAACACCTTGAAATAAGTCAAAGGGGGGTAACCCTTGAAGTGTAACAACTTCTTTCAGAGAAATAAATTGTTAGTATTGTAGTGAACGAGAATACAAGTGGGACAATCGAGTGTATTTGAATATAAAATTACAGAACAGCTTAATACAATATGAGAACCATACAGTAAACACTTCCATTTGTAAAATATCAATCAATCGTCTCAGACTTGATTGTTCCTTCGTTTCCACACCAATCATTCTCTGTTCTCGTTCTCCTTTGTTTAATCTTTTTAACCTTCTGCCGCCAGACATTTCACATGCGTTTGATGATACATACTGCTTATATCTGTCGAATTCAGTGGCACACACCACAGTATCACTTAGAATGAACGGAAATTTGACTTAGTTAAATACAAGGAAGTGGTGTTGTGATACACTCTGAACAATCCTCAACAATAATAAAATTATGGAAGGAGCTTAGATCAAAACATGACAACAATCCATAAAATCAGTGACTTCACATTCGTATCGTGTCGAGTAAATCAACACTGATTATCGAGATGTTATGAATTAATGGTTGAAGATCTTAGTAACATAACTGAAGATTGATGATAATGGGACTGACACCACAGACTTTGTAAGCCCTGAAAATATTAATACTCTACATCTACCTGTTTAGCTTATATATACTTTCCTGCTTACTGATTCATATCTTTTTCAGAACAGTTACAGTGATAATCAAAACCGATGCACCTATCACGTTGAAATTTTTTTCCTGTACCATGTAACGTCACAGACAATTAAGAGCTATTTCAGAAATCTAAAACTGTTGAGAAGGCATACATGATTAATTATAAAACCAAACACATGACCATTAATTTGTAAGAGGACCATCTTAAGCTTATGAATTAAAAATAGGCAGCGATTGACATTGTACTACTAAATCGTAAGACATGGTGAAAAATCACCAAAAAGTAGTTAGTTCACATCTACTACCGATTACCTTATTTAATGTTTTAAATAATTATAACGTAATCTTCCCAGTACGAAATAGACAACTAGATAAAGTGCTCTTGTGTTTCTATCTTTTGAAAACAATTTGAAAAGCTACCAAGGATGACTCTCCGTCAAATACCGTGTTACTTTAAAGAAACTCAACTGTAGTTATCTGGAGATGCATAGTTACTGCGTAACATTTCATAGGAAATTATTGAAAAACAGACAGTTGTATGAATGATTTACCACGTGGCTCATGTCTGAATTCATTCCTAAAACTTTTAATAAATTCTTGTTGGTGCAAATGATTGATATGTGTATAAGAAAGAGAGAAATTAGCTAAGTCGACCAATTAACAAAAGTTACACACCGGCAAACTGAAGCAGTCAACTATCTATAGAAGAGAATAGTAAATAAGAATTAAGCAAACTATGAATTAGTAATTGTATATACAATTATAAATTCCAATTAAATGCATATATAGTTTTAAAAAAATAATGTTTCTCTTATTTCATTTAAACCACTGATAAAATGATGATATTGCAACAAGTAGATATGGATATATTTTGTGTATCCATCCAAAATTTCAATTCTCATTCTTCATTAGAAGGATTGTTGCACTAAAACAAAATAAAATATAATCAAAATAAAAAGTGTTTGCTTACTAATAATAATTCACTCAAAAATATACATTAATGATTCATCAGTTTAGTAAATATTTGGATTTTGTATATGCAGGTGAATGTTATACTTATTCACTTAAAATCAGAGAAAAATAAGCAAGTTTACTTATCACATAAATACACTCAAGAAATTAAGACTACTATGCCTTCAGCCATATTGTTACTGTATTTGTCAGTCAGTCAGTCATCTAAAACGTAGGACCAGGTACATTATATACATTGATCCAAATTGCCACGCTTCATTAGCACAACAAGATGAACACCGAGTTTACAAAAGTAGTTACTTCAATAGTAGTAATATATTTAAAAAAAGAGATTGCATATAAGGATATGATATAGGGAGAAGGAATTAGTTCGTAGAAAGAAAGGTATAAAACTATCTTAATCTCACGGTTTAAGGGGAGACAGTGGGTGTATACACTTGATTCTGAGCCTTGTCACCCAGAGTTTCCAACTGTACTTTATTTGTACTTAATTCAAGTAACTTCAGCAGGGAAAAAAGGACTAGGATTCATCAATATTCTATGAACATTTATAAAAATGAACTTTACAAGCTACATTATTATAAACAAATAATTTTGTATATGAACCTTATTCTTATAAGGGACAAACAAGCAAATACTACGAGTATTCACATAAAAATTAATCAAACAAAAGATTGTTTGAATAACAAATACAAAAAACAAGCATTGCAAAATAATTCTACTACTATTTCATTTATCAGGTCAAGATATATGTAATTGGCTTCGAGCCACATTTTAAGTGAAAGGGTTAATATTACCCAATTGCCTAGACCGAAGCAGATGGAGCGGAGTTCGAATAAGCAACATAGGGACTGAAAATCAAGCGATTTAACTACTGAGTCACAGTATCCACTAGCAAATTATCTTCAGAATAATCCAGTCTAGCTTCTTTATTTACTTTCGCAACTACAAGAAAATTATTTAACAATCCTACTTTTTTTTAATTCCTTTAAATTTTTATTTAGGCAATGAAAAGACAAATACCATACACATAACTAAGCAACTAAGTCAGAATGAGTTAAAAAGTCAGGAAAAGATTTTTATTCAAGCAAATAATCAAACAAATCCTCACTATTTAAACAATGAACAAGCAAATATTTCTACAGAAATGAGACTTAAATTAACACTGAAAATGTATATTTTAATATTTAGCATAATATTAATTTGTATATTTGGATTACCAATTTCTATCTTAATTGGATGTTATTTAATGAAAAGTCGGTATGATCATCGTCATCGCCATCAATATAAACGCAAAAGCGATTACCATCAGTATACTATGACTACTACTGCACCGAAAACAACACGGTCAAGATATCGTCGCTATTACCAACGGTGTTATTCACGTGTTAAACCTTTTCTAGTAAAATCACTACATGATTATAACAAGGATCAATCGGAATTAGAAGCATCAATAAAATCACCTATTTCAGTATCAACGTCGTCATCATCGTCATCAGTGTCACCATCCTCTTCACCAGTTTTAATATTAAAAGAATCTTATAAAACAAATAATCGAGCGAATTATAACTTGACATCAATGCCATCCACAACAAAAATAACAAAAGTATCAGAAAATGAATGTAATTCCAAATCTATACATCATCGTTATCGTCAGCATCATCACCATTATATTCAACATTTGAAAGCAAACAAACGAGAGAACACTATCATCAATAATGATGATATAAAGTTAATTCAACCGTCATCAACAATATCCAACACTAAATTAAATGAACTTGTTAATTCAAATGATCATCATCATAATACTGTTAATTATGAAAATCAAAATAGTAAAAGTTATAGTCCTATTAAAAAATTTAATGATTATATACTTCCAACAATGAATACAACTGTAGCAAAAATTACTAATTCACCTGTAATTATTAGATTGAAATCATTGAATGAAACAAATTATACATTGAAAAAACAACAAAATCAGTCAACTTTAATTAAATCACTTTCTATAAATGATGATAGTAACAATTGTAATATTAATAATATTGAAGATCATCAAATAATTGAAAGTAAACATATAAAAGATACAATTCTACAACAATATGACAACAATAAAAGAAATAATATTAAAACAATAAAAGAAATAACAACATCTAGTTCACAAGATAAAACAAACTGTAAATCAATAAATCAACGAAAAAGTTCAAAAGAAATTTTATTAAAAAATTTAATATTATCAATGGATACTAATTATCATCACCAAAATAATGACAATAACAATAAACATATTACTTATAACAATGATAATAATAATACTAATAATAATAGTCAATGTATATCACATATAAAAAGTGAACCATCTACACCAAATATTTTTATGCATAATGTAACATTTAATTCGTATTATTCTACTACATGTTCATCGCCTTGTTGTTCACCTAGTCCAATAACAGTAAATGATTATAACAGTTCACAAGATAAGACTACAATAACAACTGTTTTAACTATGAATAATAAACACATGAATTCAATTGATAAACAACAAAATAAATTAAATCAATTGGAGAATGATGATAAAAAAGAGGTAATAATCATGCGAGAAAATATGACATCATCACAAATAATTGATAATCAGTTGAATAATCAAAATGAATCTGATACGATCAAAATGAAACACGAATACAATCAGAATAATGCACCGAGAATAATTGAAAATATAATAAAACAACAAATAGAGAACTCGAATCACCAGCATCATCAAATAATATGTGATGAAAAGAGTTTAAATAATGAAATATGTTGTACTACTAATAATAATAATGACAATAATAATAATAATAGTGATAATAATAATAATGACGATATTTTATTGACACATTTACTAACTGAATCGAATGAAAACATACCATTGTACACTTGTTATTATCAACAATGTAATAACACTAACACTACTGAACAATTTTACAATATTCCTAAAAAGCAGAACACTTGGTCAAATGGCAATAGTAACAGTGATAGTCATGGACTAGTCACATGGCCAACTATACAGCATTTCACATCTCATCCTATTCTACACAGATAAATACACATACTTATATATTTAAAATTCAAAATGTAGGTAACAGTACACTCATCATTACTTTCATCATTTCTACATTACACACTTATTGTTACTATTATCATTATCAGCATATCATCATCTCCAGTAATGATATCAAAATTTAATTAATAACCAAGCAGTTAAAACTACTCATTCACACACATTACAGCTTTGTCTACACTTCTATCAACTTTTATTCTGTTTAGATTTGTTTTTCTCCGATGTTGTTTTTTCTTTTACACATACAGAAAGAAAACGAAAGACAAAGATTGGACCGTAAAAAAACACATGTCCTAATGAATAAAAGCGTTAAGATCATTACCATATTTTTTTTACGTCTTACAGATGAGATTTTTATTGCATAACTCATAAAAACTCTTATTCTGTTAGCAATTTTCTAAGCAAATTAGCTAGCCTAATAATTATCAGCATCGTAATATTTTACACATATGACGGAGAGAAAGTAGAGAGATGTAATGTACGGTACAGTTAGAATAAACTATAAATAGTGCGGTAGAGTTAGAGACAGTTACCGCGGATTGATAACATACGTAAAATAACTAATACGGCACATTACCACAAAAAGATTGTCGAAAAAGATATTAATTTCCGAAAAATAAACATGAACCTGAGGAAATTTTAAAATTTAGTACTGCACAACAAAGGTCAACCAAACATGCTAAACAATTTACCTGATCATAATAAGCTTGAACACGTTCACACCACAACTCCCAGTAATGTAACAAGTTAGTTTCGTTTAAAACAAACCGAGCAGCTGGATAACCATCACCATAAGAATACACCAGCATTCCTTTTTTGACCTAAGTTAAATTCAAAATACATTGTCACCTAATTTGAAATAACAATGAATTAGATGCTAAGAAACGCGGTTAAAAATCATAAGCATATTTTTAGATGGATATATGGTGGATGAGCTTCCCAGAAACATATAGAGCCAATAAAATAATCTTAAGTATACAGGAACTTCCATCGTTTTCATAACTGGATTGATTTAACTAAGTTTTAAGAGCTATATGTAAATATCATGTAAGCTGTAAACCAATGTGCGATTGTAGTACACTAAACACTAAGTAATTACAACCATTACATCACGAGATCAGACGTTGACTTATTTAACAACCAGATCTCTCCATTGTTTTGTAACAAACAACAAATTCGTCACTTGTTTTGCTAGTAATGCCTCCGTGTATGGTCTTAAACTATTTGCATTTCTAGATTGCGCAGATTAACAAGTCTTTATGTTCAAAGTCAAAAGTGAAGTTATGTGCATCAAGTTAAGAATTAAGTTTTTCCTTAAACAATTATTTCGACTGTTAAGCAGTTCAGCCTTAAGCAGCTTAAGATAACTAGACGAACCCTTTGTTTTAATTTTACTCGTCAGCACCTACAAGAAAGAAATGCCAGTCATAAAAACAGTTATGCCTTTATACAGTAAATTGAATAAAAATAGGAAAAGCAAGTAATCAAGAGTATGTAGATTGACGTGTTGGTGGAAATCTCAAAGTCTAGTGTTACATTTATTCTACATACAAAACAATATATATATACCTTAAATGCTTACAACTGAGTAGTTTTGAGAACAGAAAACAGAAAAAACTTCATATGACATGACACACTGAAGCGAAATTGAAATAAGTCCCACGTTGCGAATTCGTCATGAAACAAGACATTAGCGTAGATAATAAACTATTGAGACACATAACACTGTAATGCAAGTAAGATGACATTATAATTTGTAATTAACAAGTGTGAAACTAATAAGAATTAAATAATAACTGACACTTATCGTTCACAATACTAAAAACTCAGATAATTGGTGCAGAAAATAGGTGATGCTTTTGTTTTTAGACAGTGACACGAACTAAGTTCTTTGATATGTAACATACTTCAAAATGATGAGATAGCAACATTCGCACACGCTGAGTGTAAACTATGAACCCATACCATCTTCCCATGTGCATCTTGAAACGTGAATATTGGCAAAGTTGGTCAATTTACGTACACTCATATAGAAGTGATCCACATATAGAATACGTGAGACCAGATTTGGAACAGAGTTTACTTTGTCAAGTCGTTTACCACCCGACCGAAGCTGCTACCTTGATGCGGTGGTCAGGCTTGCATATCGTGATGACCCAACCGAGCTATATTGGCTGGAACATATGTTCTTGTAGGTTCTACCATGCCAGGCAGGTCGATTGGAGAACGGTAAGAATAAAAGCAGCAACTCAAGGTCTGAGGGCGAAGTCGTACTGCTGACTGTAGAGGGGTGTGACACCAGTAAGGTGTTTCCCTTCGACAACCAGCATCTGCAGCGATGCTGTCTTCCCACAAGGAGGGGTGGGGTTAGAAAAAGTCAACCCTAAAAATGTCACACCTCACCTTACCTCACGGATTTCCGTCTCCGGAGGTAAGGCCCTTTGAAGAACGGAGCTAACATAGTAAAAACCTCCCACGAAAAGGCCGTGCGCGACCGGCCTCAAGTTGTCTCTTGGGCTCTGCGGTCACGCTCCCAGGTCGTCAAGACAAACACTAATCCAATTTCCTTTTCAGGTTCCTCAAGAAATACCCTTCCACGGTGTGGGCAGCCGGGAAGTGATATCAGCCCTCATACTCCTAACAGCACACGAGACCAAGTTGGTCACATTCAGATCTTTCCTACGCCTCCTAATACCTCTTTTATCTCCATGACTAACCCTCCTCACGTCTCACCTCGCACCGCTAGGGCAAACGATTCGAGTACGTGGAACGCTATTCCTGGTCTCCTGAAACCTCGCTCTAAACTACAAGTAAGAGCTTTTAACGTACGAACACTGACAAATAGGACAACATACTTCCTTAGCTAGGACTTTAGAATCTCGCGCCATCGATGTGTGCTGCGTCTCCGAAACGCGCATACAGGATCCGAGTAGCGTCATTTATTTGACCTCACCATGCCAAAATAAAGAACCGACTCGATTTACGCTTCATGTATCTGGAAGCCCTGATTCTGCTTCCCGTGGCCTCGCCGGCGTAGGTATAGCATTGAGTCCTAGGGCAGAACTAGCTCTCATAGAGTGGATCCCAGTAGACAGTCGTTTGTGCGCTGTCCGACTAAACGGAACAGTAAGGATCCGGAAAGATAGGGACACTCGTCGTTGCCTCTTTGTCGACTCTGCCTATTCTCCCACTGACTGCAGCTCAGATAATGTAAAAGATGAGTTTTACAGAAAGCTTTCCGACCTTCTCCGAAAAGCTAGGCGCTCTGATGTAGTAATAGTGGCCGGTGACTTTAATGCTCAAGTAGGTAAACTAAATGAAAGGGAAAGATACCTAGGTGGATCTTATGGTGTCGTGGCTCAAAGAACAGATAATGGCGACCGTCTGTTGCAGCTATGCTCAGATAACCGCTTGTTCCTTGCAAACACTAACTTTAATCATAAGGAAAAACATCTTTTAACATGGGGACCCCTAATTCGTCCTAACGTTGGACCCAAATAGATCACATCGCTATCAGCCACCGATGTAGGGGCTCGATAGAAGACTGTCGTTCATTCTGGAGCTCATGCTTAGATTCAGATCATGCTCTAGTGCGAGCGCGTATTTGCCTGCGTCTTACTGGACGTAGGAAAGACGCTGCAAGGAAACCTCTTAGGATCCTACTTAATGATAGTCAAGCTAAGAATATATTTCAGGAACAACTAGGAAAACAGTTAGGCAGCCATGTATGTGATGCCCACCACGAGGCAGCATGGAACGATATCCGAAAAGCTGTGGAAACAGCAGTGATATCTGCTAGTAAGGTAAACTGTAAAGTTAGGGAGAAACACTGGATCTCAGCAGCATCTATCACACTGATAGATGCTCGGAAACTCATTCCACCTGACTCTGAACATAATGAAGAGCGGAGCCAGCTCAAGCGCAAGCTGACAAGTCTACGCAATGATCGCGAACAGTGGTGGGTAGCGAAAGCAAGAGAGATGGAAAAGGCAGCGGCAATAGGTAATAGCAGACAATTGTTCAGACTCGTTAAGGAAACCGGAATTAGGAACCCGACCGTTAGCGAAGCAATCTCAGAGAAAGATGGACATATTATTCATTCTCAATCCAGGAGATTGGATGGATGGGCAGAACACTTTAGGGATCAGTTCAACTGGCCTTCAGACACACTTCGGTTTCCCACGATCTCTAGTCAACCTGAATGGCAAGTTAATGTAGATCCTCCGTCCCTTTACGAAGTTGAAAAACCCATAAGAAATCTGAAAGGAGGGAAAGCAGCAGGCCCTGACAGGTTTACTCCTGAGATTTTTAAGGATGTTGGTCCAGTGTTAGCAGTGAGTTTAACCGAGGTCTTAGGTAGAAAATAGGAACTGGATGCAATCCCATCTGACTGGTCTCAATCACTGATTGTGCCAGTCTGTAAGAAAGGACAAAAGTCCTGTTGTGACAATCACAGAGGAATCAGTTTGACAAATATAGTGTCTACAATATTAGCTTCAACAATACTTCGACGTCTAACCAAACCTCGTGAAGAACAGACTAGGGAAAATCAGGCTGGTTTTCGACCTGGACGTGGTTGTATAGACCAGATATTCACACTACGTCAGGTTCTAGAACACAGACACACGTTCAGACGCCCCACAATGGTAGTATTTCTCGACCGTAAGGCAGCATTCGACTGTGTTGATCGTGAGGTTCTATGACAGTGTTTGTCACTGAAAGGAGTACCAAAGAAGTACATTAACCTTATAAAGGCTCTCTACTCGAACACAACTGGTCGAGTGAGAGCTTATGGCGAACTGTCATCAGAATTGATTACCTCAAGTGGTGTTCGTCAGGGCTGTCCACTCTCTCCATTCTTGTTCAACTTTGTCGTCGACGTACTTTTAGAGATAACACTTTCCTCGTCTAGATTTCCAGGGGTTGAACTTCTACCGGGAGGTTTACTTGTTGACTTAGAATATGCTGATGACATAGTTTTATTTGGTGAAGACGCTGACAAAATGCAGAGTCTTCTGACCAATCTAAGCAACAATGCAAGCATGTTCGGGATGCGATTCTCCCCCTCGAAATGCAAAATGTTGCTTCAGGACTGGGTTACATGGACACCTGAACTAGTGATAGGGAGTGAAGTAGTTGAGTGTGTCGACCGCTTCACTTATCTTGGAAGTCTCATCAGCCCTTGTGGTCTGGTGTGTGACGAAATCTCAGCACGGATACAGAAGGCTCGACTAGCTTTTGCCAACTTGCGTCATTTATGGCGTAGGCAAGATATCCGTCTATCAACCAAAGGACGTGTTTACTGCGCAGCAGTTCGTTCCGTCCTACTTTATGGCAGTGAAATATGGCCGGTAAGAGTAGAGGATATTCATAGGCTACTAGTATTCGATCATAGATGTCTTCGAAACATTGCTCGTATATCCTGGGACCATCGAGTAAGTAATACAGTTCTTAGAAAACGGGTACTAGGTAAGGATGGCAAATCCATTGATGAAGTGATGAAACTTCATCAGTTGAGATGGCTGGGACACGTGTTACGTATGCCCAACCACCGACTGTCTCGACGTGTTATGTTCAGTGGTATAGGAGTAGGTTGGAAGAAAGCTAGGGGTGGCCAGACCAAAACATGGCACAAGTTCATGAAGTCACTGACAAGTGGACTGAGTCATGTTGGTAGGTGTAGACTACCTGGTTGGGGACCGCGAGATGAAAGCAACCAATGGTTAGAGACCTTGAATGACATGGCTCAAAATCGTTTGCAATGGCGCAGGTGCATCCACTCTTTGTGTTCTCCCAAATTCTAATCTTCTGATTTCTTCATTTCCCTTTCTTTTCTCTTTCCAAACTTATTTCACTGGATTATAGTCCTTGAATAACATCTTCAAACCCTAATTTTTCTGATTACAGCTTATAATCTTACTACATCTAGCACTACGGGATTTGAATCGACCACTGCATCTCTGTGCTAATGTGGTGTGGCAACTCAAACTGATGTACGTACGTACGAAGTTCTACGTTGGTACTGACTGACTGAGTCGTTTACCATTAACTTGAGCCGTGTAAAAAGGCACACACGTTTACGTAATGGCCCACAAATTAATCGTAACAAACGGTTGGATTTAATTATTAGTTGACTTCCTAATTCATGAATATTGTATCACTGCATACTTTTCATTCCTCAAATTTCACAGATCTTATTTCTCTCCTATAGTTTTCCACTACGACTGAGACTTTTTTATTTCTTGCTTTGCCTTTTGCTTATTTTTTCACTCCGTTTAAGTGAAGCGTGACAACTTGGATTGACGCATTCATTTAGATCTGTTCGTTTAAAAAATACGTAATTACTACGAAAATTCAACAGCTCTCTAAATAAAAGGGAATTTGAATAAAACCAAAACCTGTTATGTTATTTACAGCCAGCAGTGTGCTTTCAGTAGCAAAATTTCTAGAAAATGTAAACTTACAGGCAAAGATTCAGGATAACGAGTAAAGTTATAAGCTCCAATATACGCGGCAACTTGTAATGGACTATCATAAGCCTGCTCAATAGTCAATATTCTTTTGGATTCGTGTACTGTTTTCCATTCAGTCAAAATAGGTTCGTTTATATCTCTAAGTTTTGGTCAAGAAATAATGCTTCGTTGGATAAATGAAACAAACGAAATGATAGTTGAATAAAATGATTTATACTCGGTTGCCTACCCTTTTTCTTAAATCGAAATGCACAACAAATATTTAATTCAAACGTCAATCAGAAACAAATGTACATGGTTAAATACTGACTTTCGAGTTAACTTGTGCGAGGTCAAATGAAATCGAAGTATATAGAACAGATGGATTTACAGTTAAAAGTCAAGTGTTTTACTCACCAAACCGCAATTTCACTAAGATATTTAATAGCTGCATAGTCTTAAAAGAGATACCATTTGAAATGTTGGCACTGCATTCCATAGGTTAACAGCACCATCACAGAATTACTAAATTAATATGTTGAATCAGTTACAACTACGGACATTCTCATTGAAAAATACAAAAACTGATCACGGAAGAGTGGGTAGATGCCGTAATATTTATGAGCAATAAGATATATATATATATGATTGGTTGAAAATCAAATCTAAACAGTTCTTTATAGTAAGACATATGCTAAAGAACTTCAGATGAGAACAAATGACCAATAAATTAGAAACTTGAATCTAAGGTACTTTGAATAAATTGTTTTAAGCTACGGAATCCTTCACAAACAAATATATTTTGTGAGAAAACTTGGCAATAAAAGAGATACGCGGAATACTAATAAACTTTGGTAAACATACGGACTTTGTATTCAACAAAAAAACGTTAACGAGTTTGTTAAACCCAAACCTACTTTGAAAACACTATACTATCAAACCTCCCGCGATACAAAAGCTGAGGATGGAAGCAGTTAGTTTCTACTGCAGAAGACTTTAAATCATCCAAGATATATTTTAGACTTTCGCAATATTTGGAAACATTTTCAGGTAGATTAGAAGGAAACTTGCCCTTTATAAGTCGTGCTTCTACACTGGAATGAACACTTTTTCCTAAAAGCTGAAGTTCTATTTAACAAAAACATCTGTCTAATGGTGTTTACCTCTCATGTACTCCTGAAACCCATCTTCGCCAAGTTCATTTTTCTTTTTATCCTGCCATTTTCGGAGTGCAATTGTACTTTCCAAGGGTGCTGTTTTACTTAGTATAGCGGACACTGTTGGGACATTACGAAAATCTGGCTGATTTCCGTCAATATGTTTACATGTGTTCCATGAATCAAAGATAGAAACTTTGTAAGGCTTGTTAGAAATAACAGCGAAGCCACGTCTAAAGATCTTAATGACGCTACAACCCAATAATTAATTATAGTCCTAACTCACTATATTTGAACTCCTCCAATATTCATTCTGCTATAAAATTAATCGATTCAGATATCGGGTAAATTGAGCTAATTAACAAATCTTCAGATGTAAGCAAATATGTACAAATACCTAAAATATGAAAAGAATGATATCAGAATATTGAGAACCCGTAACATCAAACGTTGGTGAGGTCTCGAGCGCTGCTTTTTTATCTTAACAAGCATATTATTCACTCCACCGAACCGCATTTCATGGATCATTTATAGAGATTGTTAACTATGTAAATAAAGCTAAGTAAATAACGGAACCAGAAACAGTATGATCGTTTGCCTCTTCCTACAACCTGAAATGGTGTCAAGACATATAAAGTGATGATCTAACTAAATGCCTGCTAACAGTTTTCTACGACGATAGAAATAATCGTTAATCATATCTGTCACTTATTAATCGAGTGAATTTATGCAGCTTTGATCTAAACAGTTACTCACATTTAAAATTAGGGTAGGGATTCCAATTCCTTGTTGAGATCATTACGCGCACCTTCAAAGAAAATCAGTGAGTATACCCATCATCATGAAGCTCCAACTAATGAAAAAAAATGTACGTGACACCAACTTTTGCTTCAAATATCGAGTATTCTATTGACTTCTAGGTAAGTCATATTTTCGTACGCTTTAACCGATGTGACCAGTTCTTTACACTGTTCATCACATGTGTACTAGTGAATGAAAATGAGTGTCTAAATAAAGCAAACACTGTAACCTTTTATTTGAAAAGTAAATTTCATAACTCTTGTCCCTTAATACTGTCCTTATCTCATTATGACAAACTGTATTTACATGGTATGGTTGTTTGAACTGATGAACATATATGTTAAGTTCTACCTTTCTTATGACTTACCGGCTTTATAAACCAGGTAATAAACACGACAAATTTTCAGGGGGATTTCATTCCCCTTTAAAACAAAAGGTTGGGGCTTTTAGTTTCCCACCCTTAGACGTTTCGGTGTTGTATAAAAAGTAGTGAACACATTTTGGCATATCCTAATACGTATCCTTAACAATCCCTACTTGAGAATATGACTATTGAGTCTTCTGAATCTAAACATCTTGATTCGTCAGAGAAATTAGGTTACGCGACAACGATAAATCTTTACATAAAGCAAATATTCTTCGGTATTAACATGAGTTACTCCAGTTTATTTAGAACAAGTTACAGGAATGAGTTCATATTAATAGAATAGTCACGCCATTATGCTATTTCTATTTATTGTCAGTCAGTCAGTCAGTCAGTAACAACGTAGAACTTCGTAAGTACGTGCATCAGTTCGAGTTGCCACACCACATTAGCACAGAGATGCAGTTGCCCACTGAGGAACTCCTGGAAAGTTTGTTGAGCCACTTCAAACCGAATTTAGCTTACAGTGACTACTAGTTATATATATATATATATATATATATATATATATAACTCCGCCTGGAGTCCCTCCGGGGGCTACTGCCGGTCCCAAGCCCGGATAAAGGAGGAGGGTTGGGCATGGGGTTAGCGTCCCCATCCCGTAGAAAACCAACTCGCTAAAAAAACGCTAACCAGAAAAAATTATTCAAACCTTTTAAACTCTGCCCTGGGAGTCAGAAGATCTTCATTTAGAAGAATTATGACGCCTCATGATGAAAGCCGAATTCCTTCGGAAGTTACGAGGCCGATGCCCCTTCTGACAACCAGAGCGACCATTTATTTAGGTACACAGAATGTTCGTACAATGTGGGACACCGGAAGAGCCTTCCAGATTGCTGCAGAAATGAGAAGATACAACCTAGAGGTACTTGGGATCAGTGAAACACATTGGACACAAGTTGGACAACAACGACTAACTACAGGAGAGCTCCTGTTATACTCCGGCCATGAAGAAGAAAATGCACCACATACACAAGGAGTTGCATTGATGCTGTCCAAACAAGCACAAATTGCACTTATAGGTCCCCCTACTCTTGCTGAAGTTCAAAAGGCTATAGTTAATCTGAAACGAGGAAGGGCAGCTGGTCCAGATGGATTGGCTCCAGAGGTCTTTAAGGATGGTGGTCCAATTTTAGCGATTAAGTTGACTAATATTTTAGCTAAGATCTGGGAATTAGACTTTATCCCATCTGACTGGTCGCAATCACTTATCGTCCCAATATATAAGAAAGGGTCAAAATCATCCTGTGACAACCACAGAGGGATTAGTTTAACAAACATAGTATCTAAAATACTGGCCTCGATAATTATCAAACGCCTAACTAAGACTCGTGAACTACAAACTCGAGAGAACCAAGCTGGCTTTAGACCTGGTCGTGGCTGCATCGACCACATATTCACCATTCGTCAGGTTCTAGAACACAGGCATACCTATCGGCGTCCGACGATGGTGGTCTTTCTTGACTTAAAAGCAGCATTTGACTCGGTAGACCGCGAGACTCTGTGGCAGTGTCTGTCATTGAAAGGCGTACCTCAGAAGTACATAAACCTTGTGAAGGCTCTTTACTCGAACACTACTAGTCGAGTCAGGGCTTATGGCGAACTGTCATCTACTTTTGCAACCTCAAGTGGTGTCCGTCAAGGCTGTCCACTTTCTCCATTTCTGTTTAACTTCATCATAGACCTATTGATGGAAATAACACTCTCGTCGACTGAATTCTCGGGTATTGATCTCCTTCCAGGAGGTCCACTTATCGACTTAGAATACGCAGATGACATAGTCCTGTTTGGTGAAGACGCTGACAAAATGCAGAGTCTTCTGGTAGCACTAAGCAACAATGCCAGAATGTTTGGGATGCGCTTCTCTCCCTCTAAATGCAAGTTGTTGCTTCAGGACTGGTCTGGGTCAACACCTGAACTAAGGATAGGGAGTGAAGTAGTTGAACGCGTTGACAACTTCACTTATCTTGGAAGTGTGATCAGCCCTAATGGGTTGGTATCGGACGAAATCTCAGCACGGATTCGAAAAGCTCGTTTGGCTTTTGCCAACTTGCGTCACCTTTGGCGAAGGCGAGATATCCGTCTATCAATAAAAGGACGAGTATACTGCGCGGTAGTTCGTTCTGTTTTAATTTACGGCAGCGAAACATGGCCCTTAAGAGTAGAAGACACCCGTAAGCTACTAGTATTTGACCACAGATGCCTTAGAAATATTGCTGGCATCTGCTGGGATCACCGGGTAAGTAATAGTGAGGTTAGACGCAGGGTATTAGGGAACGATGGTAAATCAGTTGATGAGGTTATGAATCTTCATCGACTGAGATGGTTGGGCCACGTATTACGTATGCCTGAACACCGATTACCGCGACGTGCAATGCTAACCGGGGTAGGGGATGGTTGGAAGAAAGTTAGGGGCGGCCAAACCAAAACGTGGCATCAGTGCCTGAAGTCACTGACTTCTAGTCTGAGCCACGTTGGTAGATGCAGACTACTTGGTTGGGGTCCGCGTGACTTTCGTAACCAATGGTTGGAGACTCTTGGGGACATGGCTCGGAATCGATAACAATGGCGTCGGTGTATACACTCCCTGTCTTCCCTTAAACTAAGAGACTAAAATCACTTCATTCTTTCTGTCTACGAACTAATTCTTTCTTCCTATACTATATCCTTATTGCAACCTTTGACCTAACCACTCCTATGAATCCGGTGTTCATCTTGCTGTGCTAATGAGGTATGGCAACCTGGACCGATGCACATATGTGCCTGGTCCTACGTTGTAGCTGACTGACTGACTATAGGATGGGAATCTCATGGACCAAGGATCATCAAAGCCTCGTTTAAAACAAAGAAAGAGGGCATTTCAATGAACATCATCCAATGCTATGCGCCTACCAACGACTACAATGAAGACGCTAAAGATCAATTCTACAATAGGCTGCAGTCAATAGTCGAGAAGTGCCCAACAAAGGACCTGACCATTCTGATGGGAGATTTCAATGCCAAGGTTGGAACGGACAACACTGGATATGAAGACATCATGGGACGACACGGACTGGGAGAAAGAAACGAAAATGGTGAGAGATTTGCAAACCTACGTGCCTTCAATAAGCTGGTCATAGGCGGCACCATATTCCCACATAAACGCATACACAAAACCACATGGACTTCACCGGATCACTCTACACAAAACCAAATCGACCATATTTGCATCAACAAAACGTTCAGGAGGACTATAGAGGACGTGAGAACCAAGAGAGGAGCTGATATAGCATCAGATCATCACTTGCTGGTCGCCAAGATGAAATTGAAACTCAAGAAACACTGGACAACGGGGCAGACAGTATCACAAAAGTTCAATACGGCCTATCTTCAGGATATTAACAAACTCAACAAATTCAAGATAGTCCTCAGCAACAAGTTCCAGACCTTTCATGATCTACTCAATGGAGAAGGAACTACTGTGGAGAGCAACTGGAAGGGGATCAAAGAGGCAATCATTTCAACATGTCATGAGGTCCTGGGTCACAAGAAGCACCATCACAAGGAATGGATCACTGTTGGTACACTGGATAAGATTCTAGAAAGGAGGAACAAGAAGGCAGCGATCAATACCAGCCGAACAAGAGCAGAAAAAGCCAAGGCACAAGCTGAATACACGGAAATAAACAAACAAGTGAAGAGGAGCATCAGAACCGACAAACGTAAATATGTGGAAGATTTAGCAACGACGGCAGAAAAGGCTGCAAGAGAAGGAAACATGAGACAATTGTATGACACGACAAAGAAACTCTCTGGAAATCGCCGCAAACCAGAACGACCAGTGAAAAGCAAGGAAGGCAAGGTAATCACCAACATTGAAGAGCAACAAAACAGGTGGGTAGAACACTTCACAGAACTCTTGAATCGACCAGCTCCACTGAACCCACCTAACATCGAAGCAGCACCCACGGACCTCCCAATCAATGTTGGCCCACCAACAATTGAAGAAATCAGCATGGCCATCAGACAAATCAAGAGTGGCAAAGCAGCAGGACCGGACAACATCCCAGCAGAGGCACTAAAAGCAGACGTAGCGGCAACTGCACGGATACTCCACATTCTCTTCAATAAGATTTGGGATGAGGAACAAGTACCAACAGTCTGGAAAGAAGGACTTCTGATCAAAATACCGAAGAAAGGCGATCTCAGCAAGTGCGATAACTACAGGGGCATCACTCTTCTCTCAATACCGGGAAAAGTCTTCAACAGGGTATTGTTAAACAGGATGAAGGACT